ATGCACAACCTATCTAAAGAAAAAGAGACAAAATCATCAAATATCGTATCTTTTTTCGGTTTCTCCATCTCAAATAAGTAGCTATTCCTGAAACGCCACATACACCACCACATTGTTGCGAAAATAGACCCAAGCTCAAATTTCTTAGCCGACAGAACAAGAGTCCAATTCAAGAACTGATCAAAAGCACCCGTCGAAGTAGAGGGAGCAAGTCAACTTGACACCAATGATCAACCCTCCTCAACACGACCTCTTCAACCTCATCCTCAAACAACACATGGATCACGGAGGCAGCTGCATTGTTACACACGTTACATAAGCTGGTAGGGACATCTATACCTCGAGCCAAAAGGTTATCCAAAGTAAGGAGACAATTCAAGACAACACGTCAACATAAAATATTAATTTTAGAGGGCACCACCTTGTTCCACCTAGTATCAATCGATCCATGGAGGCAACCTAGAATCATCAATTAACATTCCAATATATTTAACTAAATAATCAGCACTAGAAGCTAACTCCCACACTCAGTTATCAGGACCACTAGAAAGTTGGACATAAGATACCAAAACATACATGTTATCCAACTAAGATGACACAACTCCCATAATAGAATCTCGAGACCAACTCCAACACCAAATCCCATTAACACACTATCTGTAACCTTGCACTCCAAGTACGTATCCAACAAAGCAAGTCTAGAAAATCTCAACTTGAGAGGATTACCTCCCGGTTAAACATCTTTCCAAAATAAAATATTGCTCCTACCACCCACCTTTTTCATCAATTAGTGTATCAAACAAAATGATATGATCATTATGTAATGCCATAAAAGCCAAGACTATAGAAGCCCAAACACCTTAGACCACGAAAGAGGAGTCCAAGGAAAAACCATCGTTATCATTATGAACAGAAGCGTGTTACTGAATGCATAATGTCTACCAACATCTAGGCCACCATGCTCCTTAGCAGCCAAAACCAATGTTTTGAAAACCGGACCGAACATCGAACCGTCAGTCTTACCAGTTTGATGGTTCAATTGGTTCGACTTGTTCAACCGACCTCAAAAACCGGATAAACTGGCTATATATATATAATATATATATATATATATATATATATCTATATATATATATATATATATATATATATATATAAAAGTAGGATCAAGTAGGAACTCAAAAAATGGTAGGAACTCGAGGACAAATTTTGGCCTTAAGATTGAAAAAATAAATGGTCAGGATTTGATTTTATTTATCGTCAAAATCCCGCGAGATGATATGACATTTTCGTAATTAATTGCGAGATTTTGATAATTTTCGGGGAAGGTTAATTGTTTGGAGGTATAAGTGACAAAAACAAAAAGATTAAAAGAAAAAAGAAAATGAAAATTCGGCCATGTGGCCTCTCCAGGAGCTGACACGTGCCTCCACTGACAAGTGTCCAGCCCTTATTGGTTGATGAGTTTTTTTTTCACCCGCTAAATTTTTCGGCCATAACTTTTTTTTTTCTTTGAAAAAAAAGTCTGCAAAAACCAAAGTTCTTCTCTAAAAAATGAGCACAATCATGAAAATTTGAAATTTTTTTTATATTTATAAAAAAACCCAATTTTTTTTTCCAAAAATTATAACAATTTAAGGAATACTTCTACTCACTATTCTAATGACTTTGTAAAAAGTTTTTTTTGTAAAAATAAGGTGTTTTAGATACCAAACTTTATTTTAAAAGATTAGAAGTTTTTCAAAAAAATGTTGAACATAATATGATGCAAATAGAGATGATTCTAAATATTTATGATTCAAAAATATTATGATTCAATATGTTTATAATCCTTAACTTGTTATGATCTAAAAATATTTTGATTCAAATATTTAATGATCCTTAATTATTATATTTTTATGATTAAAAATTAAATGATTAAAAAAAATATAATGATCCAAATGTTGTATTGAACAAAAACTTTATTTAATTCAATATATTTTGATCCAAATTAATATGATCAAAAAATGTATGATGCATAATATCGTTATGATTCAAAATACTAAGATTCAACATTTTTTTATCCAAAAATAATATTATTCAAAAAAATATATATATGAACGGAAAATATTATGATCCTTAATATTCTTCTTATTTAAAATTTTATAATTGTTAAACATTAAAAACTCAAACTGATATTTAGTTAAAAATAATAATAATAAATCAAAAAATTAAAAAAATCCCTACTATCTTCAAGTGTGTAGTAAAGATATTAAAAAACCAAAAAAAAAAAAAGGTTTTTTTTAAAAAAACGAAAAAAATTAAAAACATTAAAACCGATTATATATCTATTTTAAAAAAAAATTTGAATTTTTTTTAATGAAAAACAAAAAAAATAATAAAAAAAGAAAAAAATCAAAATAAATAAAAGAGAAAAGAAAAACTCATTTAAATGACGTTTCATGGACGTTCGTCGCACATGATTATTCCCTCGAGTTTGTATTACGTTGCATGCACGTGCGCCGCGTGCGAACGCTTCACGACCAAGTAAATGGGTTTGACGTTTGTGCCCTTCACGAAATGATTGGTGAACTAAAAAAAACGTGTGAACTTGCGAACTCATAATCAACTTATCATTTTTTAATACCAAAAACATCAATCTTCTTCAACTGTTGCGTCTAAACCATATCTAGGCTAAAAAAAAGTTGACAAATTTTTTTTTTAAATTTTGCATGTATGTATAATCAGCAGATTGTACGGACTGCTGATGAGCACAATCAACAGTCATATGAACTGCGGATGTGCACAATCTTTATCCATATGGACTGTTGATTGTGCTCATCATCAGTCATACAAAAAACCAAATAAATAAATAAATAAAATCATCAAATCTTTTTTGAGCCTAGATATGGCTTAGACGTACCATTTGGAGAAGATTAGTGTTTTTAGTGTTGAAAAAAATAATAAGTTGATTATGAGTTCGCAAGTTCTTACAAATCTTTTGGTTCTCGAAAGAACCTGATTCTATAGTACTTATAACAAGACAAATTAATCAAAACCAAAAAAGTTTCGCACCTATTATATTATATAGGATTGAGATGGCTTCTTCACTTGTATTTTGATCCCACACATCAGTATGATTAAAGAAAATAGAAAGACTTGTGGGTTAATAAATCACTTGTATTTTGATCCCATATCAGTATGATTAAAGAAATAAGACTTGTTGCTTAATAAATCACTTGTATTTTGATCCTATATCAGTATGATTAAAGAAATAGAAAGACTTGTTGCTTAATAAAATGGTGGGGTTTAGTAACTTTATCCCACATTGATGGTACATAAGAAGATAAAACTTGATGTCTCTTATAAGAGGGAATCCCTGCTCTTTGTTTTTGAAGTAAATATTTTCAATAATCCGGTTGTATAGGTGGTTGAATTAGGCCGGGTTAACCTTGGTTCACATAAAACCAATGGTTTTCTATTATTTTGACATACCAGTGGTTTTTAGAGTCTACAAAACCAATAACTAAGGGGCGGAGGGACTACCAGGTGTGTTGTCCCTTCCAACATTTTTCGTTTTACTTATATACTATTAGTTATCAACTTTATTAATTACTTTTAGCCCAAAATAAAAACTAATCCCTAGCTCAGCGCCTCCCTTAGCCTAATTTCCTTAATTTTGTGGTTTGACAATTATAATTTGCATATTCAATAACATATACATCCATTACAATTTAACGGCAGTTAAAAATCATCGGCAATTGGCAAAGGGACTGTATTGCAAATTACATTCACCTCACTTTCTTTTACAAACTCAAGTTCAAGAAAAAATAATTTATAATTTCTTACTTTACTAGTTAATATATATTTACGTTATTTTTTTACTTATAATTAATATTTTTTAGCAATATAATTTGTAATTAATGATAATATTATGATTAGTTGATTAGTTTCTTAATTCTTATAATAATAGGGTAAACCATGTGTAAGAAAATAATTATTGATTTTTTTTTTCAAACGAAAAAAGAAAAATAATTATTGAATTCTTAAAAAAATCGATGTAGTTTCTATTTATACCATTTATTCTTTTTCATTGTCTCTTTCAATTTTACAAAGTCGATTATGTTATTTGAATATTTTTTTTTAAATATATAAGACCCCTTTATCCTAAAATCCTAGCTCCGCCCCTGCAATAACTAGTCTAGTTCCCGGTTGAACGGGCCGGTTCGGTCTGGTTTTCAAAGCAGTGGCCAAAACCAACTCCCATTTAACCCAAACAAATTTTCTTTCATGGTCAGCTCCCAAAAAAAGATTCATTATAAACATGGACGGATCTTCTTAAGGGCGAGGGGGGCCACAGATTTTTTTTTTAACTAGTCCATTACTATTAAAGATTTTACATATTACACCCAAAACTAAAAAATTTGACTACGGCCCCTGTTCTTCAATTTTTATATATATTTTACTTTCAGCCCCGACTCAAATGTTCAAGCTCCGTCAATGATTATAAAGCCCTTTAACAAATATAAACCACACAGACAACTATTGAAAACTACATAATCGAGCCTAGCCAATTTTTAAAAGTAAAACTAGAAATACCGATCCATATAAACAACATAGAACAAAACTATAACTTACTATATTAGCAGCAGATATTTTATATATATTATATTGTTTAAATAAGTTGTAAACAATTCCACATACCCTCGAAAGTTACAAAAAGTAGAAAAGAAAAGGATACGGCCCTCGAAGAATACAAGATTTAAACTTTCACCCCTCATCCTTTTGATGACTTCCTACAAGCAAAATTTTACTAAAATGTGACACGAGACACCACGTGTCCTTCTCACAGCATGCAAGCATTGCATGACAAGCAGTTCCCATAACACGTGACACCCTTCTTTCAACACGTGCCACTCCATCACCATCTTCTCCACCCTTTATAGAACCCCCGGAGCTCTCATATTTCCACCTCAAACCCAATCAACCTACCAAAAATCTCAACAATCCACCGTCGGAAAATGACAGATTATCAGACCTACAATCCGCAACACCATGTCGGAGGAGGAGTAGGAGGAATGCACCAGCAGCAGTACACCAACACCTCTCCGCGGGCTCACCAAGCAGTCAAAGCAGCCACGGCCGCCACCGCCGGTGGCTCACTCCTGGTTCTCTCCGGTCTCACACTGGCCGGGACTGTTATCGCACTGACAATCGCCACTCCGCTACTTGTGATCTTCAGTCCGGTGCTTGTCCCGGCTGCCATCACCGTGTTTCTTCTGGCCACTGGATTTTTGACGTCGGGAGGATTTGGAGTGGCGGCGGTGACGGTGTTATCATGGATTTACAAGTACGCGACTGGTGGGCACCCACCAGGGGCTGACTCACTGGATCAGGCTAGGGATAAGTTGGGCTACAAAGCTCGGGAGATGAAGGGGAGGGCGGAGCAAGCCACCGGAATGGGACACCACCAGAGAGCTGATCTGTAGGTTCTCTCGTGAAGGAGATAATGTTCATGCCTATGATCATGTGTCGGCTATATGTCTATTTTTATTGCTTTTTTCTTTTTGGTTAAATGATTTTGTGTGTGTGTTCATGCGGTGTTTGTGTGTATTATGTTTGATGTAATAAATCAAGTACAAGTTCTATATATATTTCATGTTTAATTTAAAATTTTCAGATTAATTCTAGCTAGTCTTTCTCGAAGTTGCTATATTTATTATATTGGGGCACATTTCCATTAACGCGTGATCTGTAACTTCCGCATCAGTTGTAACAATTTTTTTTTAAGAGCATTGGGTGTGGGCAACAAGGTGCAACACCAAGTTGTGCCACCTCACATGCCACATAAGCATTTAGTTATAACACCAAGTAGGAAAATTGGCAAACAAGTGGTGTTATAACACCAAGTGGGGAAATGGGCAACAAGATGCAACATCAAGTTGTGCCACCTCACATGCCACATAAGCATTTGGTGTTATAACACCAAGTGGGGAAATAGGCAAGCAAGTGGTGTTATAACACCAAGTGGGGAAATGGACAACAAGATGCAACACCAACTTTTTGAAAATAAATATGTTTCCTTTAATGTTTTTTTTCCGAAATGGTCATAAGCAACGGTTCTTTTTTTCCGTTTCAATTCGTTTCCGTGGCCACGAGATTCAACCGACGAGATGCAACGAGCTAGGGGGCGGTGTTCCCCTCGTTAAGACGGCGTTGAGCCGTGCCACCTCAGCCTGTTTCTTCTCGTTGAGGCCGATACCGGGTGCTCTAAATCTATTAACAGTAGCATTTAGTTTCTTCCTTATAACAAATATTTCACCGGCCTATTAATTATACAGCAATCTATAACTTTTGCAACAATTATAATACGTACGTACTTCAAATCTATAAATATATAGCAGCATTTAATTTCTTCCTTATAACAAATATTTCACCGGCCTATTAATTATACAGCAATCTATAACTTTTGCAACAATTATAATACGTACTTACTTCAAATCTATAAATAGCAGCATTTAATTTCTTCCCTGTAAAAGTCATATCTTCGGTAACAAGAAGTCATTTTTATCACAACTTGCCACTTATAGCAAAATTCTGGGTAGTTTGGTGTTTCCTGTAAATGGTTATGACAAAAAAAACATAATAAAGGTTTAAATATTAGTAGTCACTTTTACATTGTTGTCACGTTGTATGCGACGGGGATGTACACCGCCCTAGGCCAAAGTAATTAAATGCCAAGCTCAGCATCCCTAATTAGGGGTGCAGCCAAACTATTCGGGATCGACACTGCCCTAGGCCAAAGTAATTAAATGTCAACCTCAGCATCCCTAATTAGGGGTGCAGCCAAAAAGTTCGGGATCGAAACGTTAAAAGTTCGGGAGCGAAACGTTAAAAGCTCGACCGGAGACCAAACTATTCGGGATCGACACGTTAAAAACTCGACCGGACACCAATTTTAATGAGAGCCGAGCTCAAGCCTAATAGTAAGCTTGTTTATTAAAGGGATCGAAACGTTAAAAGCTCGGCCGGAGACCAAACTATTCGGGATCGACAAGCTCGACCGGAGACCAATTTTAATGAGAGCCGAGCTCAAGCCTAATAGTAAGCTTGTTTATTAAACAGGCAAGTGTCACTAAGCTCGATTAGGCTCACGACCCTAAACGAGTATATATATATATATAATATATATATATATATATATATATATATATATATAGAGAGAGAGAGAGAGAGATGTAAGTTCAATTGAGAAAATAAAAAAAGTTGAGAATGTGGAAATCATTCTCAGTCACTCATTTATTTTTGCCGCAAAAGCCTCCGTGGTACCAGCGAAAATGGGAAAGGAATACAGATGTGTTTTCCAACAAAACATGTTATCTTAAACTATGTTAATCATTACCTTAATATATACAAAACATAGTTTTTTTGTTTTTTTAATTTTTAAAAAACTATTTTTATCGAAAAATGATTTTAAATATACTAAAATTCATGATTTTTTATTCTCTACAAATAGACATCCATACTGATATAGTTTTAAGATAAAATAAATTTTTTTATTTTTATATTTTCAGCTATCGTTATTCATAAGTGAATAAAAATGCATCATATTTTTAGTATAACACATTTGTTATTCACTTATGAATAAAAAAAATATGATTAATTTCTTTTACAGATTAAATATTATTCATATATAAATATAACATATAATAAAGTCTTTTATAGCTTACATCAACTTTCGTCACATGTTATATTCACATATGAATAAAACGTGTATTGACTTTCCTCACAAATTATATTTATATACGAATAATACATTTATCATAATTTTGTTACAATTCATTTGTTATTCCTATATAAATAAGTAGTTCAAATTTTTAAAACATTTCATCTTTTTTTTAACATATTACTTATTTATATATGAATAACGACAATTAATACACGTTTTATTCATATATAAATATAACATGTGACGAAAGATGATTTAAAAAAAATATTTTAGGTAAGAAAACTTTATAACGTGTTATATTTATATATAAACGATATTTAAACTGTAAAAAAAGTTAAGCATGCGTTTTATTCATAAGTGAATAACGAATGTACTGTAATAAAAATCTGATGCGTTTTTATTCACTTATGAATAACGATAGCTGAAACTCTAAAAAAATAATTTTTTTATTTTATCTTAAAACTATATCAATATGGATGTCTATTTATAGAGACTAAAAAGTTATGAATTTTGATATATTTAAAATAAATTTTCGATAAAAATAACATTTAAAAAAAAATGTTTTTGTGTATATTAAGGTAATGATTAACATACTTTAAGGAAACATGTTTGGTTGGAAAAACACATGTGTGTCCGTTACCTATTCCGCCGGTACGCCTAAGTGTTTTGCGGCAAATATAAATGTGTGACTGAGAATGATTCCCTCATTCTCAACCTTTTTTTTTCTCAATTGAACCCTTATATATATATATATATATATATATATATATATATATATATATATATATATATATATATATATATATATATATATATGAAAAATTAAGGATTTAAAATATTAGTAAACGAGCTTCTTAAAAAGTTCGAATCAAACTTAAGCTTATTTAGGCTCGTCAGATACAAAAAAGAGTCGGGCTTGTATAATTCATCACGAGCTTGAGCCAAGCTCTGTACTATAAAGCTCGAATCGAGCCGAGCTCGAGCTCGATCCCCTTATAACTTAAACGAGTCTGAGTCGAGCTTGCCCAGACTCGGGCTCGGTTTGACTCGTTTGTAGTTTTGCACCCTTATCCCCAAGCCATATATTCTCTTTAGTTTTTGTTAATTAAAATCTCTCTCTCTCTCTCTCTATATATATATATATATATATATATATATATATATATATATATATATATATATACACTCTTTATTCATTTATACCTATGTAGGCTTATGAACAATCCTAATATTGAGTCGGCTCCAATATCAAGCTGTTTAGAGCCATGATGGTTTTCACCATCGGTTTCTCAACTTCTCATACATGTTCTTCTCTGGATTGTTCCTTCTCACCTTCCTTCAATCATCTAAATTTATTACAATCATACAATCAAAAATCCAAATTTACCACAACCTTTAGGCTCGACGGAGTGACTTTGACCTCACTTGGCGAAAACCGACGTGTGCTCGGTGAACATCGGGCCATGTACTTGGCAAACCAAGCTCGGTGTGGCAATTCGGTGCTTAGTAGTCGATGAGAGAGTGTATGAGGTATTTGAATTTTTGAACTTCGCTATTGTTTTTTGAGCTTTTTTTCACCATTTTTCTTTTCAATTTTTTTTAAAATTTTACCCTCTTTTTAACCCTATATAAATACTACTCGGTACTGGTTACCATATTACATTCTTCAGATTTTCACACAAAAGCTCATATTTTTGTGAAAAATAACTTCCTCTTCCAACCAAAAAACTCCAAAAAAAATACCAAAATAAACACCCAAAACACAAACCCAATATCACATTCATCACCTACTTTCATCCAAAGTCAAAGTGATCGGCCTAATTTATTCACCTCCCAATTTACACTATGGTGGTGCTTACTACCCATATCAAGTCCAAAACTAACTACAATTCCAAAACCATCCACAATTTCAAAACCAACCTCAAATGAACTTCTCATCTCAAATCCAATCGCAAATGGAAAATGATTTCAACCCATTTAACCATCTTCTCGACTCGCCAGTCCAAACTTAAACCCAATTCCAAACTCAATCACAACCCGAAGTCGTACAGGAAACGGATTTGGAGCCAAAAGCAATTCAATCACAACCTAAGAAAATAGGAAGGGCAGCTCCACAACCATAGACCACGGAGGAAGAAACGACGTTAGCTCGTGTGTGTGGGTAGATGTTTTTGAAGATCTGAAGGTCAGAAAAAACTTAGACTTACCCACTTTTTATCGGAAAATTACTAGACGTTTTCTCGCGGAAATGAATCGTGGAAACTACAGGAAAAATGATCAAATTTACTCGAAGTGGAGAAAACGTCAAAAAAATTGTGCTTGAGCTTAATGTAGTGTTTTCTACTGTGAAACGACAATGACAAAGTGGTGCAAATGACGAATCAATTTTGCAAAATGCTCTAGCACTTTTTCGGAGTAAAAAATGGATAGCTTTCAAATTTCTTCATGTGTGGAATATCGTGAAGATGTCAAAAAAGTGGCAAGATATCGAAAGTTCGGAAACGTTCATGGATGGGTCTTCTAAAATAAGCAAAACTTCTGAAACAAATCATAGTCAATCGCCCGATGTGCATGTTGGGATGGACCTCAATGAGGAGGAGCCTTTTGAGGTTCCAAGAGTCACTCGTCCCATAGGAACAGACGAAACGAAAAGGAAAAGCTACGACAAGTGGTTCAGGTGACATCGATCATCTAACAACCAAAATGGACAACTTGAAGTCGACGTTGGAGCAATACTTGGTGGTCGCACAAGAGAAAGAAAAAAAAATTGTGTCATAAAATCTTGACAAAAAAAAACACTAGCAATCTTACGGGACGCGAAAAAGAAATGACGTTAAAAGTCAAAGAAGAGGTTATGAAAAAATATAATATCTAGAGGTTGTCGTTATTTAAATTTCTATGTTTCGTGTTTTGAATTTCTAGGTTTTGTAATTTTAAATTCTGTGTTTTTTTTGGTGTGTTGTAATTTTATTTTATTGTTTAATGAAATTTTAGGTTTTATAAAAATAATTTGTTTGAAATTTTAATTTTTAATATTAATTAATTAAAAAAATTAGCATGACAAACATAACAACCTACAACGTGTAAATGGCAAAAATATGATGTGTTATGACAAATCTTAGATGACATTTACGTGGACTGTGACAACATTGACACCACTCTCTCTCCGCCTTAGTTATTGTTTTCTTTTAATCTCATATTAGGTATTTTTTAAGCTTTTAGGTATTTAAATTTATGTTATGCATTTTTAATTTCAATTAATGAAATTTTAAAATTTTATTTGAATATTTACATATTAAAATTTTTAAATAAATATGACATGACATGTCATGGTAACCATTCTTTATAATCTACACTAGTAGTTAAGATTTTCAAAATCATTAATTAATCAATCACTTGTTAGGAACACCATAATAAAATGGGAAGCGATTTATACACAACATTTTTTTTCTATACACAACAATTTAGGCTTTATATGTTTGTACTATACGACTTTTTAATGCATATTATTGTGTATGGAAAAAATATATTGTGTACGAATCACTTCCCTAATAAAATATTGTTGTATTTTTTGTTAGTTAACTTCTCGTTTAAGCATATTGAACTACATACAACATACTTATGAGATTCAGATCCCTAACTTGCCATTGCACTATACGAGAATTTAGGAATGAAAACTTGTAGGTGGTTCACATTGACCATTGTTTTTGTGAATTCATGATTTTATGTTTTTGTGAATCCCGAAGTCAATGATATTGTTCTTGTGAATTTATGAACTCAAACCTAACCGTTTTGTTTTTCTTTTCTTGATTTCATTAATGGAGGTTAAGCGTTTGTTGATGGTTTACTGCCTTAGTATTTCACATTTGAAACCACTTAAAGATGTTGATTTAACATGCTATTGTTGTCGAAACTGCTATTTTTCTAAAAAAATGTTTGATAATTTTGATGGTAGTAGAAAATTTAAATAACTAGTTATATTTTTTTTTAACCAGCAAATCTAGTCTATTGCTAATTCCACTTATATCCCAGACAAGACTTGAATCTTTGGCTTCGAATAAGAAGGACAACAACTGATAACACCGGGCCCTTTGGTAGTAACTAATTATATACATAGAGAAGAGTTATTTGCATTTAGACTAAAGTTTGGCTAAAACGTCTGAGTCAACAACTTATTCCTTCTTCAAAAGTGAGGGTCCGTTTGATAGTTGTCTGATAAAATGTTGTTTGAGAAAGTTTACCGACTTGGAAAGAAACCATGTTGTTTGATTATATATCTGACTAACTGTGCTGAATGGTGAAAATGACCATTTAGCCATAATGATATATGGTTTTGGAGTTTTATGGGAAAGACATATCTTACCGGGAAAGACCATTTTTTGTGCAAATCAAACAATCTTTCCGGCCCATTCAGCCAGAAAGATCTGTTTGGACCTGGAAATATGTCTATCAAACACGGCCTAAAATAATAAGTAGTGATAAGTTGAATTCTGGTTGTACATGATAGCATATCGTTACTTGCTAAACATTGAACTTACCCGTTTTACAACTCCATGACAAGTAACGAATGAGTGGATCTTTAGAAGATTATGTTTACAAGGTAAGAAGAGAATGTAAAAAGATTTGGACGAGTAAGCACAGAAGTATCTTCAGTTTAGTTAGTTGGATTGGATACTGAGGCTACAAGTCATTATATAGTTAGTTGGTAGACTTACATTTTTGTTATGCTCGAGACCTGAGACCAATTGCAAATTATAGTAGATTACTTACGGATATGTTATGATTACAAGGGTGATGCCAAAATTTTGATTGAAAAATTAAACAAATAATTGGGCATGTTATCTAGAAAATGGGGGTGTTACTATGCTCTTGTGAAAACACCAAATACTATAAAAGGAGCAATGCATGTGGCCACAAGAAGAGTGGTAAGATAAGATATTATACATTGTTAATTAAGGTTATACTTATTCAAGTGGGGAAGAATAGATGGTAAGTAAGTGCATACCCGATATATTACCAATAGATTATAACAAAAGTATGCTTAGAAATATAAACCCTACAAAATATGTCACCTACATTACATAGGGCTTGAAACAGATTTACATGTCCATTTTAATAGGATCTATCTCTTGGCTTTGGTTTTGGTTTTGGTAGTTTTCCAGTATGACATTACAGTTATTCAAGGTACGCGAGTCCAAAAGACCATGATTCCAAATCTTAATCATGAATAACCTCCAACACCTACCGTTGCGTTACACCAAAATATTACTTTTTTTTTATTATTATTTTATATATATTATCCAGAATAAATCACATTTTTGGTCACTGAGTATAGCTGATTTTTCAATTTTAGTCCCAAAAAGTTTTTCTTTTGCAATTTTGATCCCAAAGAAGTCATTCTACTTTGATGAGGGACCAAAAACGTTACAAGAACCTCAAGCAAGTAAGGACCAAAATTGCAAAAAAAAAATAATAATAATAAAAAAACTTTTTGGGATATGCTCAGGGACGAAAAATGTAATTTACTGAATAAAAGATGATAATAGGAAAAGCTACCAGAGGAGTGATGGGGCCTGGACAAGGTCTTGTCCGTGCAATTTAGAAAATGCCTCGCATGCCCATGGAATATGGCCATCTGCTAGCACCCTGAGACCATTTTCATAATTCATAAATAAATAAACAATTTTGAATAAATGGTGGCATATAATAACACAAAAAATTGTGTATGTTTAAATTTTAAAAGGAAAATGTAGATTTAATTACCGTTGTTTTCTCACAAATGAGTTCCATAAGTGCATCATTTGCTTCTCGTCTTTGGAAACATCCACAAAGTCATCAAGCATCTGAAAAACATGAAAACAAATGTTACAAAAAAACAGGGTAGATGAAGAGAGGAAGATTTCAAAAATTGGACAAAACTTGAGATTTTAAGTAAAGCAAAGGGACCAAATGTGTAATTTACTCTAATTAAATTTATCGACTCAAGGACCAATATTCCAACAAAATGAAACTACAAGGACTGGACAAATTTGTAATAAAAACGGAACTTGGACTAAATCTGTCATGTTTGAGTATACCACAGGGACCAAACTTGTAATTTACTCCAAATTGGACACACATACCCTTCTGTCTTCAAGATCAGCAACATCATCATCAACTTCATCTTCACTGTCTCGCTCAGCAAACACTTGCTCCAATGCCATTGGCTTTTAAAACCACAAATAAAAGAAAAAGTAATAACCACCATTGACCATATACTCCATAGTAAATGCAAAATGCAAATAATTACTTTCACCAACAAAGAAAAAAAATTATAGTAACCTGAGCTCTATGCGAGTGAAAAAACTGCCTCTTCTGCAACAGGGCTCGGCTGCAATAAAAGACACAATTCATATATAAAAGCTTATATATTTTTTTTTCTCCAAATAATATATTAATTGAACATATAGAAATACGCAGATGCTTGTACTTTCTAGGGTCAGATCTTTCAGCAGATAACTTTCTTGTTTTTGCAAATTGTAGCATAGGAGGTTGAAGGTTGTTTTCAGGCACTGATTGGACGGATTCCAGTTCAGCAAACGAGTGACACGTGGCACTTGCATCTGGACTACATGTGTCATGTTCCATACACTCAGCTACACCTACAATTATAAATATTAAATACAATCAACCAAATTTAAATCACCTTTTCCACCTATTATAGCAACGTACTAAAATTTCTTTATTGATAATAGCAATGTACTAACATTTTACTACCAATATGGGTAATGTACTTTATGTGTTACATATTGCTAGTATGAAAATGTAAGTATGTTGCCATTATGGGTAAAAATAGAATATATTTTCTACATTTGGTAAAACAAGTAAAGTACGTTGCTATAAAGAATAGACAAAAGGAAGTCATACAATCTGTGTTGTCTATGAGCTCATTAAGAGTTGCAGACATGGCTGAATCCAGCACAAGTGGATGCACGTGTTTTGCATTTTGAGTTGGGGCTTTTGGTTTCCTACGTCTCGCAGACTTATAGCTGTACATAAATGTTTTTTATATAATTAATTAACAATTATCTCTAAAGTGCAAAAAATGACAAAATTAAAATCTTAAAGCTTACCAATAGAAAAACATTTGCTGTTTTGGATCAACATTTTCTGGTATAATCTGAGCAACATTTATTTTCCAAAATAAGTGTTACACAACATCAACAAAAGAGTATAAAAGTTGTATGCTAACTAACCTCAGAACTGCATATATCAGTCCTCATAGATACAATCACAACTTGATAATCTTCAGTAACCTGCATATTCATATTATTATGAAGGTAAATATTTTATAGCAACAAGAATTTCTGAAAGATTCATGAAATTTACAAAACCCAAAACTCATAACGGAAGAGATCATGTGATGAAGTTAAGTGAAATCTCAGGCCCTAAAGACATTATCAAGAAACAATCAGACCCTAAGAAGCATAAAATATAAGAATGTAGTAAATAATACATATAGAGAGAGCTATATCTACCTTGTAACTTGCACATTTCACCAAACAGAATGGACACGAAAAATCCTCAGTAACTGCAGATTTGGCATGGATTTTATAGAGTTAAGAGCATCAGAAATGACATAATAAAAAAAAGTGTCAAGAAATTCATTTACCTTCAGTCCTTTGCAACATATTGTTGTAGTACTTGTAGTTAAAAATGACATTTCCAGACCTCAACCTTAAAAGTAAATACATACAACATAAAAAAGTTCAAGGAAGTAATAAATATACGAGTAAATATCTAAATGAAGAAATGCCAAATGTAAATTACCTCATAATACCAGGTCTAGGGGTATCATTGTATGAATACATGTCATAGGGAGACATATTTTTAGCCCCAACCTCTTCTGCTGAAACAGTGACTTGTACTTGCTGCAATATGCTCTTAAACAACCATAAAATGAATTGAGCAGTAGGAACAAATTCAGTAATTAAACTAAGAAGAAAAAAAAAAGTGTTCATGACAAGAAGCAAAGAGTTAAGAGCAAACCTACCACAGCTTCAGAATTATATGGGAAGTGAAATGATACACATTTTCCTCCATCCAAACAACTCAACTGCAAAATCAAACTCCATGATGAGAATCTAGAAGACAGAGCAGCAAAAAAGATGAACCAGTCCTTATATTGTTAATAAGCCCTTATTCCATTAAAAATATTGTTAAATCATAGCAAACTTGTTAAATATGGGAAAAAAACTACTTTCTATGGAGACTAAAGTTTAGATAAAGTTGCTTATCAGCAAGCACATTCCTAGAGGGTATGAGTGTAAAATCTGAAAGATCATGATATAGAGCAAAAGTACTAAACTATTTATGTGTCTTTATACATTTCATTACATGAAGCTAAATAAAATTTAAAAGTACTAAATAAGATGTCAATAGGAACCATAACAATACTTTATTGAAAAGTAACGAATCAAAATACAGTTTCAAGTTTCAACCCGCTTTTGATCGACTTTAGTTCCTCACAAAGATGCTTAATTTGACAATAGAATCTTTTCTCTACTAATCTCCTACATATAGCTAATTACTTAGGTCTTAGGTAATAATATAGTTGCTACATTTCCCTAATATGATACCATATTAATAATATGGTAGTAATATCTTGACTAGCATATGTTATTTACAAAAATAATGCATAGAATGTTCAGGGATTTTCACTGACATCACTCTTCACTAACTTTACTTGATACCTAGTGTTTATACACAACAGCAAACATACCTTCATAAAGCAGGACTGCATAATAACAGTTGACATCATCTCAGCTCTTCCCCCTAAACTTATTGTAGGAGATTTTTCCCATGAAGATTGAAGTAAATCCATTGGAATCTTCCCAAATAAGCAATAACCCACACGATTCACTGTCAAGCACGTAAAAATATATATATCAGAATACAAGTAGTAAGAAGATTACCCATCTATAGCACATCTTACATGAGGCAGAAAACATGTGGTCCTCTGTTAGATCAATCCCTTGAAGATTTGTGGTATCAGCTGCAAAAGTAGATCAAAATTTGAAATTGTAACAAGCTTATACACATTAATTCTCCAAATGTAACCAAACTTAGAAACAGTGTCATACCACAGCTAACCAACAACACAGCAAGAGAGCCAGATTTAACCTCTGTTGATAGTTTTTTCATCTCAGGGAGAATAAATCTTGCTGAACTCGTGTTGTCGGCCCCACCAAAAGCTGTCAATTTACATGCTCGATTGAAGCGATAAACAGTTGTACACTGTGTCTAGAAATCAGAAAAAAATAATAATAATAATAAAAAGTGAAGAATAGAAGGTTTTGCCCAAAAGTAAAACTTGATAGCAATACCTCTACATTTGTAGTAGAGACTGCTCTTGCCAACAACATGTACATAGGAAAAAGACTCTGAGTTTGCAGCCCATCATTAGTAGCACCAGATATGGATACTGATATTTGTACCCTGCAATAAACAGAAGGGACACAAATATCTTTAAAAAAAATTAGGGAATAAACCTAGAAGGTCTATTCAGTAATGAAAGCAGCACGTAGTCATCAGTACAATTAGTTGCGAGTATTATGTTGCAAAATCTTACCTTCTTTTCTGTTTTGCTTGTGATTTGTAGTGCAGACATCTTTGTAAAAATGATGGCTGCAAGAAACCATCCATCCGTTAAGAAGTATCAATGAATTATAGCCTAAAAGATAGGCAAACAGAAGATGAAGGGGAGAAGAGAAGAGAGAAAGATAGGTAAAAATGAGAAAGTCACATTTCTAACAGCACGTCGTTGAAGAATGTTGTATAGTTCTACAGGCTTGCAATAAACTGAAAGGCTTTCTTCAGCTGCAGTTTGCTCTTCCTGAGACAAATGAGCACGAGCTTCATGGCGGCACATCGGATCTGAGCATCTAGAGTAACTGCAATTGCAAACAGATTTCTTGTTCCATGAATTTGAATTTGCATATCTTTGTTCATGCACCACGCAATACATTGTAAGCTTCAGAAAGCACGAGGTACTCAAAAGGACAGACAAATAGATGTATGCAATTGCAATGTAAAGAGTATGCCTGTTCCATGATCACCTAAAAGGAAAAATGGAATGAATACACTACACCCATGAAAGCAAAAACCCAAAGGCTATCAAATTTAAGAATCTCATACACAGTTCTAAACAATTCTTAGTTATACAGATAGATGACATATAGTAGCCTGAAATGGAAGGTACAGTACGTGGTTTCACGAGCAACTAAAGATATGCCGGGCATTCTTGTTAGACAATCCTGAATTGCAACCCCATACTTATCTGCACCTCTGTGGGGAAAGTCAGTTTAAGCCCCTGCACACCTGCATTCAATATTCTAGTGAATAACTCATGTTTCAAGCGAATAATTCAATGGAAAAAATGATCACTGCATAATCTCTGCATGTGTTTCTTGTTGTTTCATATCGCCAATTGTTCTGATGACATAAAACTTAAAGAAATTTAGTTCTAGTAAATTACTGAAGGTTCAAATATCACCCATCCATACCATATACAAACGGATGCAAAATGAATGACATTTACAGTTGCTAAAACTTTCCACTTTGAGACTAACGCACTACTGTAATCAATGAAGCATAGGTGAAAATTTATACCGACCATTTATCTTCTTAAAAATATCTCAGTTAGTTCCAAAAACTGTATTCTCGTCTCCCTTAAATACTTAATGACCAATTAGGTAAAGCAACGGAAACTGTAACGAATTAGACGCAAATTAAACAATTCCGTAAGTGAAATCAAGGAAACAGGGAAATCTCAACCGTATTCTCTGCATCTTACGTAAAAACACTACGAACATCGAACACAGGATCGTTGATCAATACCAATAATTAATGTATTGAGCTGTTATTAATCTAGAAAATCGACATAAACAAGGACCAAAACTGATATGAATTGGAAAATTGAAGATTTTATAGTACCTTATATGTATGTTAAGAGCCCTAATTTGTTTGAGGGGAAGAAGGAAAGCAAGTTTGGGGAAGACTTGCAGAGTTTAAAAAAGCAACGGCGTCTTTGACTATTATCACGGTATGATTATGTCACCAATGTTTTAGGAAAATCATTTCATCTATCTTATCAATTTATGACATGTGCAACATTTTTGATGTTGCATACTTATTTATTCCTTAGACTTTTGTATAACATATGTCAAAAAGTTTATGTTATATCACTAGTCTATGTCAAAAAAGTTTATATCATTTGTCATGAGACCTATATTTTGCATGGGTTAGTTTAAAAAAAATTAAATATAAAAGTCAAAATATTTGAAATTTTGAATTTATAAGAAAATAAGAAAAATAATGAAGTATTATAATGAAAATCTTTTTTTATCTTTTAAGTTTTAATAAATAAAAGAAACTAATGAGTTTTAACTTTGGAAATTTTGAAATTAAATGGTAATTTCATTAATGAAATTAATATCCATTTATTACTACATTTATTACAATATTACATTAAAATATTATGTGAATTTAATAAAATAGAAAAACTCATAAAATGACATTTGTAAAAAATTAATTCAAAATAACCATAAAATGACATTTGTAAAAAAATTAATTCAAAATAACCATAAAATGATATTTGATAAATTGAATGAGAGTGTGACAAATGACAAAAAAAAAGCTTTCATTTATTAGAGAGGAAGAGAGAGGAAGAGAGGATAAGAGCATTAAGTGTGAGCAACTAGATGTAACATCAATTTGGTGTCACCTCACATGTCACATAAACAATGATGTTATAACACCAAACAAGGAAATGGTTTTCATGTTATAACAATGTTATAACACCAATATTTTCCATGTCATATTTTCTTTTGATTTTTTTTCGAGTTTGGTTTTTTTTTTCTTTTTCGTGTTTATTTTTTTAATTAATAGAACAAACATATTTTTATAAAACATAATATTTAAAAAAACTAAAAAAAGACATAGTTTTTAAAAACTAAAATTAAGAGTACAATAAAAACACAATTAATTTTAAAAGATAACATTTTTTTCTTAGTCTTAATTAACCCAAATAACATCTAAATTAAACCTAAAACCATAACATTTTACTACTAATCTTAATTAACCCAAATACTTCTTCCTAATTTGATCATTCATCGCTTGTAGCACCGCTAGATCTTGAGGCGACAAACCCTCCTTGTTAGTCCGAAGAATTGACAATTGTTGTGTCATTAGTTCTCTCTCTTTTTGCTCCTGCTTCTCCCGTGCATGCCTTTCTAGAAACTCCAAGTGGCAACGTTTCAACTCATTTTTTTTTCTTTTTTTAATAAATTGTGTCATCGAATTTCGCTTTCATTTCCGCCAAATCTTTTGCTTTCGCCTCAACCTCCTCTTCATGTCTTGCAGTGCGTCTCGCTTTGTCGCGTTCGGGCGTAACGCCCGCAGATTCAGGCTAGTCAATTTAGAGACGATAAGCGTCAAAAACGACTTTATGATAAAGGTTTATTTAGAATAATTAATCTTAACTAAGTTGCAGTATATGTCACAAGGTTTCCGTACATATAAAGAACGCTGAAATCCGAGTTATAACGAAGAAGTTATGACTTGTCCAAGTTTCGCGACAAAACCGGTACGACACCGAGTTATAACGAAGAAGTTATGACCTAACCTGTCCAAGTTTCACATTTTATTCCTTGATTCTATATGTATTACATGTATAAAAATTATTATACATAGATAAAATACTTAGTATTTTCTTAAGTATATTTAGGAAAATATATGTATATATAGTTAATATAAATTTATATTGACATAAAAAACATTTACCTAAATACATGACTTAAAAAATGTTTAATGCTAATCCTTTGAAATGTATATTAAGTACCTACCATAGATAAAACTATACTAAGGCAAGAAACGGCTAAAGCATTTATTATCAATATTAATAGAATTAATATATCTACAATATATAATCCTTACTAAAAAGTGAATTTCAAATTTTAAGAAAATAACAAGTGGAAAAAAAGAAAATCAAAAAATCTTAGAAAATGGCATGTGGCAAATGTAATGAGAAGATGACATTTGACAAAATCATTTTTCATTTATTATTAGGTGTGGGACTCATGTATTACATGGGTTAATTAAAATTAAATATCAAAATATAAACATTAAATATTTTTTTAAAATTAAAATAAGGAAGGAAAAAACATATTTATTGAAATTTAAGATCATATTTATTACATTTAATAATTTACTTATATAGCTATATGTATTATGTGGCTTTTTAATTTTAAAAATTAAAAAACCTAGAAATTGACATGTGGATATTATTTATTTCAAAAATAAAACAAAATGACAAGTGTCAAAACTTATGAGAGATTGACATGTACCAAAATGGATGTTCATTTATTAGATTAGATTAGATGGTAAATTATTCTCAATATTAATAGAATTAATATATCTGCCATATATAACCCTTACTAAAAAGTGAATTTCAAATTCTAAAAAAATGAAAAACATAAGAAAATGATAAGTAGAAAAAAGAAAATCAAAAAATCTTAGAAAATAACATGTGACAAATGTAATGAGAAGAAGACATTTGACAAAATCATTTACATTTATTATGATAGATTTTTATCTACAAAACTGGATAATTATTTTTACTCGGAACAATTATATTTCATCTGGAGAATTATACAACAAGATTATGTGATCATTAGTTTTGAGTTAAAAGAACATTGTTTATGTTTTAAAACCATTATCACACTTATCTTTATATATAAGCCTCTTATATTTTATAATTCGTTTGTTACTAATGAATTATATATCTTTTTTTACTAATTGTATAATTAAATAGTTTTTTATCCTATTATTTAAATAGATATATTATCAACCGTGGTTTTCACGGGTTATAACATAATTTATATTATATCAAAGTATTCAAATCCATATCAACATTCCATAAAAATCAGAACACGTTTAGCAAATAAACAAATTTAACGAGAGATAACGACGTATAAAATAAATATATATTTTTTTTCAAAAGCCATTGTTAATTATTTTATTTTGTATCTGTAACCTAAAATAAATAAAGATAGCACTGAGTATTATGTATCAATCTGTAAAATAATTGATATAGGGCATTTATCTTTCTGTTAACTAACGTTTTTGATAAATAAGTTTAATTTAAAAAACCCTTGTATTAAATTTAAACCGGGTATTTTCGTGGTAGAATTAAAAAGACGATCACTTCAACTCTTCTAGTACTGTTTTTGACACCATCGCCGATTATCAGCCACGCAAAATTTTCCTTAAAGAAGGGTTTTCTACTTTCCAGTGTATTATTATTATAAGTCTATAATTAAGTTGGTTGACTAAGTCGGCTAAGTTCAAATAATAGTAATTCAAAACAAGATGTCCTTGATTACTCCTTATCATCATCTAAGTTATTGATAGATATGACACTCTTAAATTGGAGATTGTATTATATTCTAATGTTTTATCTCGTTTGACTTATACGCCTATATATACATGAATTCATGTATTTGAATGTCTGTAGAAAGAAAGAGAGTTCTAGAGTGAGAGGGCTGTGGGGAACTTAATAATGACAGGGCAATCATCCAGATGTACACATGGTGCTGGTCATAGCTCAATTAGAACTTACAGTTTTGAGCTTTATGGCGAGAGGATTGATCCAAACTTAAGTCAAAGTCATGAGAAAGTGAAAGAGAAAGAGAAAGAAGAAGATCAATATCTGTGTAACAATGGTAATTCATTTAATAGACCATGCAACAATAGAAGAGCTTTTAGTTTTAAGCTCTTTAGCGAGAAGATTGATCCAAACCTGAATCAAAGTAATGAGAAATTAGAGATAGAAGATGATCATGACCATCGATATCTTAATGGCAATGGCAATTCACTTCGTAGGTCCAGTATTAGCATGGGTATTTTAGATGCATGCAACTATGACCCGGATTTCATGGATAATGGGTATCTGTCGGATGGCCTTCCTAATGGATCTAGCCACTACATCCATGATAAGAAGAAAGGTTTGTTTTTCATCAGAATCAATCTAACTAGTGCATTATGTTGTAATGTGATTATTCTTTTTGATGATGTGTTTTTTCTTTAATTGCATGTGGGTCTTGATCTGTTCAAAGCACACAATGTGTTCATTAATTTAAGTTGGATCTTCATACAAGTGCATTAAGAATAACATAATCATGCTATGCTAACATAAAGAAAAAGTATATATAAAATCTCTAAATTAAACATCTTTCTTATGTACATTAATCTAGCTATATTTTCATTGATCAGGGTTGCCATGGACAAGAGATGAGCACAAATCATTCTTGATGGGTTTAGAAAAGCTTGGAAAAGGTGACTGGAGAGGGATTTCGAAGAATTATGTGAAAACAAGAACCCCAACTCAAGTCGCTAGCCATGCCCAGAAGTATTTCATCAGAATCAAAGCACACGAGAAAGGAAAACGCAGATCAAGTATGTTTGATATGCCCAATCACTCGGCAATTAACTACTTCTAAAAGCTTGCATCTTTCTCCTGAGATCTTGAATTTGTCTTGAACTTTTGATATGTAAACCTTAATAAATGGAAGTATAGAGCTTTTTTTTTCCTTTGAAAAAGCTGATTTAAGATAAGTCAACTATTGTTGAGTTGTTTCAGAAAGATTGTTACTTGTAGATTAACGAGTCAACTTATTCAAAAAATTATTATTATTTTACTCCTTTTTTATCTTTTAATATTTTATAATATACTAATAATCTATAATATTTGTGCTAACAAGAATTGGATATGTTACTTAACATACTTAAAGTAGACATTCATTAAAAAAACATGTATTTCATATTAGTTTTATTTGAAATAAGATCAATGTACATAAAAGTGGAATAAGATTATATAAGCTTAAAATGACCTGAAATTGAAGTAAATGTTTGTGTTATAGTGACATATCTTCATGTGTTGTGTTGCCAAGTCGGCAGGTAATTGACACAAAAAAGTTGGAACGAAATCCGAAGGAATTAAGATCTTTTACACGCTTGGTTGACAAACATAAGTTAGAATGAAATTCAATTCCTTT